TTCCAACTCTGATACTTAACTGTGATGGGCACAACTTTGAGGAACTACTTTTTAAGCACCAGTGTAATTTTGAAGGCTGAGTAGTAAGCGGTAAGCGAGGACTGTCTATAAAACTGAACATCCCAAAGGGTGCACAACAGCTATTATTTAAAAAAATCCTAGGTTAAGTCCAGTTCTTCCACGATAATAAATGGATGGTGCACCACTAGGAAACCCTGTGTTTGTTTGCTAGGTAAAAAAAAAAAACAGAAGACAGCAATGGCATATTTTTTTTATTTGATACTGCGCATGCCCCAAGATGGCGCTCTGGCGCTGAGTCTCGGCTTCTTGGGGGCGATGCCTCGGCTTGGGGGGGCTCAGGGGGGTCATTTCGAACATCTATGACCCCCCGCCCGGACGAAGCAGCATCTGAGGAGCCCGTTGGAAGCTTTGTCGGCTCCCCGGACCATCCCAGCGCTGAGGGGGATGATGTCAGGACGGCGGTGGGTGACGGCGGTCTGCGGCCTGCAGGGGAGCGGCACCGGCGGCGGCGGTCGCGGGCGGTCATGGCGGCGGCGGCGGCAGCTCCTGGACGACGTCGGCGTTGTGAGGCCCCTACGGAGGTTCCCACGCCCCTGGATGCCTCGAGGTGGATCTTTGGAGGCAGGGGGCGGCTGGGGACGTCCGTGGGGGGGCCGATGGCGACGATGGCGATGGGGACTGCGGAGGCCGCGGCGGTGGTCGTGACGGGGGCGCCTAAGGTTGGGGCAGCTCCCAAGGGCCTAAAGACTTCCAAACAGACGGCCCAGGACTCTTCAGCAGCGGTTTTTAGGTCTGATTTTGGGGTGACTGGAGAGTATATGACCCTTGAGGGAAGGGTTACCCCCAGGGAGACCCAGAGCCCCCCCCCCAGGGTGAGCTGGATGGGGGGGGGACGAAATTGGGGAGCTTTACCCTCTAGAATGGAAGGTTGAGGGTTATTGGGGCTGGAAAATGACTACAAATGCGGTTTGAATCCCCCCCCTCCTTCCTTCAGACTGAGCTTTGGCCTATTGGCCTACTACGATCATAGCTTCCCATCCATCTTGGCCTGCTGAACTACTCCTAATTTTTTCCCATTTCCATCTGGCCTGTCTGGATTCCCTACCATGTAGAACTTTTCTGACGAACATTTACGAACTTAAACCTCCTTTGAGCTGGATATTGGATTCCCTGATGCTGCTAATCCCAGGAGGGATACTGGTTCTATGGACATGGGGCCGAGGAGGCGGAATATGGCTATCCTCACCCTTGAGCTTTCTATCAAAGTCCCCATGGATTGGCCTGGTGAGAGACGGCCACCCTGGAAACTTTCGGGGTCGAATGATATGCACCTCCTTAGCCACTGTCGTGAGAGGACAGTGGAGCTTGGCAGCCTGACCATGGACTGGAATTTTCCCTACGCTTATAACATCAGTGGTCCCCCACCCTTGGACTGTTTCCCCTTGATAGCTATATGTATTCGGTGTCGGAACTCCTCGCCCTGCGAGATTCTCCCCTCTCGCAGATTTGGCCCCCCACATTATCGAGGGCCTATCTCGATGACGGACTTTGGAGTCCGGAGAGATGGCATGGAGCAAGGAAGAATTTATGGGGCTTTTTAGGGAAATTTTTAAAGATTTTAAGGGGTTCTGGGGGAGGGGGTTGTAATTATTCTTTTAAAGATATTGGGAAGACGACTAAGGCGGATTGGGGGGGAAATCCACCAGGGTCAGAGCCGTGCCCGGCACAGGGTAACGATCCGGGGGGCACCGGACGAGGGATTGGGAAAGGGATGGGGGACGATATCTATGAGGGCTGTACCATCGGCACGGTGAATGGGAGGGGCAGATATGGCGGGAGCAGGGGACCACATCAGGTGCTGGGGGCTCGCACTTGCTGTCTGAGAGCAATTGCTTGCCCCGGTCCCCAAGGCTCTGCTCGGATACTAGGTGGCTTAGATACTCAGGAGCTGGGCCTTCGGCTGATGCTGTGCAATGCCAGGTCCGTGGTCAATAAGGCCCCCCTCATTCACGATCTTATACAAGAGGGAGGAGCGGACCTGGCGGGTATTACGGAGACCTGGTTGGGCCCGGAGGGTGGCGTCCCTCTGGTTGAAATGTGCCCACCAGGCTTCAGAGCATTCCATCAGCCGAGGGCTCAGGGGAGGGGCGGGGGGGTGGCGGTTATTATTAACGAGGATCTGGGTCCGAGGGAGACCACTGTGCCTCAGATAGCCGGATGTGAGTCCCTCCTTGTGAGGTGGGGCCGTGGGGTTCAGATGGGCTTGTTGCTTACGTACCTGGCTCCCTGCCGCGTGGCAACAGCCCTACCTGAGCTACTCGACGTGATAGCCACGGTGGCAGTAGATACACCCAGGCTTTTAGTCATGGGTGATTTCAACTTGCCATCCGTCGGTGAAACGTCTGAGGTGGCTCGGGAGTTCATGGCTTCCATGACGGCCATGGACCTGACCCAGTTAGTTCATGGCCCTACTCACAGGGGAGGTCACACTCTGGATCTGATTTTTGTCTCTGGCCAGTGGTTGAGTGGTCTTGTTATAGGGGATATAGACATGGAACCCTTGTCATGGTCTGACCACTCACTCCTTCGCCTAGATCTTCGAACCGCGACCCCTCGCCGCAGGGAGGTGGATCCAATTAGATGGATCCGCCCCAGGCGCCTGATGGATCCTGATAGGTTCCAGACGGAGCTTGGGCCATTTCCTGAGGATCTAGCACATGACTCGGCCGAGGACCTGGTAGCCGCCTGGGATCGGGCGGCTGGTGGGGCCTTGGACCGAGTTGTGCCTTTGCGGCCTCTGACCCGATGCCGATCCCGTGCGGCTCCTTGGTTTACTGAGGAGCTGAGGGAAATGAAGCGCCGGAAAAGACGCCTGGAGAGCGGTTGGAGGGCCAGTCTCGCTGAATCTGATCGAACACTGGTAAGGTCGCATATTAAGGCCTACCTAGTGGCGATAGAGACGGCAAAGTCTAACTACTTTTCCGCCTCTATTGCGTCATCAGGGAATCGTCCGGCTGCCCTGTTTAGGGTGACCCGCGCCCTGCTCCATCCAGGAGTGCGGGAGGATCCCTTAGAAGGCAGGGCGGAGGATTTCGGACAATACCTGTATGACAAAATCGCCCAGATCCGGGGGGATTTGGACTCTGACTGGGTAGATCAGGGCAGGGTGACGAGGAATAGTCTTGAGAATGTTATCTGGGAGGAGTTTGATGCTGTGACTCCTGATGATGTGGACAGGATTTTGGGGAGACTTAGTGCGGCCACATGTTTACTGGACCCGTGTCCCTCCTGGTTGGTACTGGCTTCCCGGGAGGTTACACGAGGCTGGCTCCAGGGTGTTATCAACGCTTCGTTGAGTGAGGGTTACTTCCCCACCGCCTTGAAAGAGGCGGTGGTGAGGCCTCTCCTCAAGAAGCCGTCCCTGGATCCGGCAATATTGGCCAACTATCGTCCTGTCTCCAACCTTCGCTTTATGGCGAAGGTTGTTGAGAGTGTGGTCGCACGACAGTTTCCGCAATTCCTGGAGGAAACATCTTATCTAGATCCGTTCCAGTCGGGTTTCAGGTCTGGGCACAGCACAGAAACGGCATTGGTCGCGTTGGTTGATGATCTCTGGAGGGCTCGGGACAGGGGTTGTTCCTCTGTTCTGGTCCTGTTAGACCTCTCAGCGGCTTTTGATACCATCGACCATGGTATCATGCTGCACCGGCTGGAAGAGTTGGGGGTGGGAGGCACCGTGTTGCGGTGGTTCTCCTCCTTTCTCTCCGACCGGTCGCAGTTTGTGTTGGCAGGGGGGCAGAGGTCGACCTCGAGGCCTCTCATTTGTGGAGTGCCGCAGGGATCGGTCCTCTCGCCCCTTCTGTTCAACATTTATGTGAAGCCGCTGGGTGAGATCATCCGTGGCTTTGGGGTGAGATACCACCAGTACGCTGATGACACCCAGCTGTACATCTCCACCCCAGGCCACCCCAACGATGCCCTTGAAGTGATGTCCCAGTGCCTGGAGGCTGTACGGGTCTGGATGGGGAGGAACAGGCTCAAGCTCAACCCTTCCAAGACTGAGTGGCTGTGGCTCCCGGCATCCCGATATAGTCAGTTGACTCCATCACTGACTATTGGGGGCGAGTCATTGGCCCCCACAGAGAAGGCTCGCAATCTGGGAGTCCTCCTGGATATGCAGCTGTCCTTGGAGGAACATCTGACGGCTGTAACCAGGGGGACCTTTTGTCAGGTTCGCCTGATTCGCCAGTTGCGGCCCTTTCTTGATCGGGATTCCCTGTGCACAGTCACTCATGCCCTCGTCACCTCTCGCCTTGACTACTGCAACGCTCTCTACATGGGGCTCCCCTTGAGGAGCACCCGGAGGCTCCAGCTGGTCCAGAACGCAGCAGCGCGGGTAGTGACGGGAGCAGCATGGCGCTCCCATGTAACACCGCTCCTGCGCGAGCTGCACTGGCTCCCAGTTGTCTTCCGGGTGCGCTTCAAGGTGTTGGTTATCACCTTTAAAGCGCTCCATGGCATAGGGCCTAGCTATCTGCGAGACCGCCTGCTGCTACCGACGACCTCCCAGCGACCCGTGCGCTCCCATAGAGAGGGCCTCCTCGGGGTGCCATCAGCCAAACAATGCAGGCTGGTGACCCCCAGGGGGAGGGCCTTCTCTGTGGGGGCACCTACCCTCTGGAATCAGCTCCCCCCAGAGATAAGGAGAATCCAAGACCTCAGTGCCTTCCGTCGCGCCCTTAAAACCCATTTATTTAAACAAGCCGGGCTGGCTTAAGATGAAATTTTTAACTGTTTTTAAATGTTTTAAACGTTTTTAATTGGTAAATGAGTTTTAATTGGGCCAAATTTATATATCTTTTAATTGTTTTTAATATTTGTTCTGCATGTTTTTTTAATCTGGCTGTACACCGCCCTGAGTCCTCAGGGAGAAGGGCGGTATAGAAATCCAATATAAAATAAAAAAATAAAATAAATAAATAAGAGTTCCATATTGTTTCCAACAAAAGGTGTCCATAAAATCACAACAAGTCACCCCTACTATGAAGGAGAACCAGTTTTAAAGCATGTACCACAAATGGAATAAAATCTGGGGAGAAAAGGAATATGTAGCAACTGACATGTTTCAATCGAATTGCTTCTTTTGGCTTTTGAACCATGAAGGTTACCTGAAGGGCAGAACAGCCTTTACATCTGAAATTTTACATTGCTTTTCTCACTACTCTATAAACTCCCCCAATATATTTGCTATTCATTATGGTTTCTTCCACTTGGGTGCCTCATTCTTGACACAATCTGAACAGACGTACTTGGTGCACTAAATTCCTGGAACTGTTAGGAAAAGATAAACTTTGAATCCCCTCTGTGTCTCTTCTCCTCTTGCTTTCTCCTTATATGAGGAGCCACAATCTATATCTCAGGGCTCCAATCCCCAAGAGATGCTGGCTGGAGAATTCTAAGGCTGAAAATCTTGGGGGCACCAAGGGAAAAAAAGGCTGGGATTCCTGGCACATAGCATTTCTATCATCCACCATCACAAAAATGCAAAGAACATTCCCAAAAAGATTTTTACATAATTGCCAAATTTCTACAAAAATAAATATCCAGCAACTTCTTATGCTGAAGGTAAGATAGCCATTATCAAAGTAATATGTTCCAACTTTTTCTTTCCTCTGCACCATCTAGTACCATTACATATTTGCCTACAAAAAATCAGGCAAATTCTATTTAATTTAATCAAATTAAATAGTCAATTTCTCAGCTGGAGTTACACTGGGACACTAGAAATGAAATTCAACCCTTCTCTACACTAATCGCTTGGGGCCTTAGGAGATTTTTCTGTGTGCAATAAGGGTGGAAAGTTTCCTGAAGCACCGTCCACACTCGGGGCATTAAAATGATTTCTCCCCTTTGTTTATAAGTACTTGATTTATAAGGTTAACCTTAGTACTGAGATCATTCCCACAGTCTGGACACTCATATAGTTTTCCTCCTGTGTGAGTCCTCTGGTGTTGAACTAGGCTGAAATTCTGACGGAAACTTTTCTCACAGTCAGGACATTCAAACGGTTTCTCTCCTGTGTGAGTCCTCTGGTGTTGAACCAGGGTGGAATTCTGACTGAAACTTTTCCCACAGTCAGGACATTCAAAGGGTTTCACTCCTGTGTGAATCCTCTGGTGTTGAACCAGGCAGGAATTATGACTGAAAGTTTTCCCACAGTCAAGACATTCAAAGGGTTTCTCTCTTGTGTGAGTCCTCTGGTGTTTCACCAGGGTGGAATTCGTACTGAAACTTTTACCACAATAAAAACATTCAAACGGTTTCTCTCCTGTATGAATCCTCTGGTGTTGAACCAGGTTGGAATTCTGACGGAAACTTTTCCCACAGTCAGGACATTCAAACGGTTTCTCTCCTGTGTGAGTCCTCTGGTGTTGAACCAGGTTGGAATTCTGACTGAAACTTTTACCACAATCAGAACATTCAAACGGTTTCTCTCCTGTATGAATCCTCTGGTGTTGAACCAGGCAGGAATTATGACTGAAAGTTTTCCCACAGTCAAGACATTCAAAGGGTCTCTCTCCTGTGTGAGTCCTCTGGTGTTTCACCAGGGTGGAATTTGTACTGAAACTTTTACCACAATAAAAACATTCAAACAGTTTCTCCCCTGTATGAATCCTCTGGTGTTGAACCAGGTTGGAATTATGACTGAAACTTTTCCCACAGTCAGGACATTCAAACGGTTTCTCTCCTGTGTGAGTCCTCTGGTGTTGAACCAGGCTGGAATTATGACTGAAACTTTTCCCACAGTCAAGACATTCAAAGTGTTTCTCTCCTGTGTGAATCCTCTGGTGTTTCACCAGGGTGGAAATCGTACTGAAACTTTTACCACAATCAGAACATTCAAACTGTTTCTCTCCTGTATGAATCCTCTGGTGGCTGATGAGATAGGAATTCTGACGGAAACATTTTCCACAATCAGGACATTCAAACGGTTTATCTGCTATGTGAATCCTCTGATGGCCGATGAGGTTGGAATTCCGACGGAAACATTTCCCACAGTCAGGACATTTAAAGGGTTTCTCTCCTGTGTGAGTCCTCTGGTGTTGAACCAGTGTGGAATTCTGACTGAAACTTTTCCCACAATCAGGACATTTAAAGGGTTTCTCTCCTGTGTGAGTCCTCTGGTGTTGAACCAGGTTGGAATTCTGACGGAAACTTTTCCCACAGTCAGGACATTCAAAGAGCTTCTCTCCTGTGTGAATTCTCTGGTGTGTCAGAAGGCTGAGTTTGGAACTCAAACTTTTACCACAGTCGGGACATTCAAAGGGTTTCTCTCCTGTGTGAATCCTCTGGTGTGTCACAAGGCTGGAATTCTGACTGAAACTTTTCCCACAAACAGGACACTCATACGGTTTCTCTCCTGTATGAATCCTCTGATGTTGAATCAGGCTGGAATTCTGATAGAAACTTTTCCCACAGTCAGGACATTCAAAGGGTTTCTCTCCTGTGTGAGTCCTCTGGTGTTTCACCAGAGTGGAATTGTTACTGAAACTTTTCCCACAATCAGGACACTCAAAGGGTTTCTCGCCTGTGTGAGTCCTTTGGTGTCTCACCAGGTTGGAATTCTGACTGAAACTTTTCCCACAATCAGGACACTCAAAGGGTTTCTCGCCTGTGTGAGTCCTTTGGTGTGTCACCAGGCTGGAATGCCGACTGAAGCTTTTTCCACAATCAGGACACTTAAAAGGTTTATCTCCTGTGTGAATTCTCAGGTGTATCACCAGGTTGGAATTATCACAGAAACATTTCTCACAATCAGGACATTCAAACGGTTTCTCCTTGGCATGAGTCATGTTGCCATGCTTCCTAAAGCATTTACTGCATTGGGAGCACTTGTAGGGCTTCTCTCCTGTGTGGGTCCTTACAAGAACCGCAATGGAGGTGTTCTGATCAGAGGTTTTGCCACATTTAGAGTATTGTATGGTTTTTCTCCAGTCGGGAGAAAATCAGGCATAATCAGCTGTTATTTGCAAGTTGTATCTTTCCCACAACAGGCACATCTATGAAGCTTTTCCACAACTCATATTCCTTTGGAAGTCAAAAATATGGATGATTCCTTGTTTAGCAGTGTTTTTATTCAAGCCATTTTCTTCCTCCCAGAGTGGGCTTGCTCTACGTGGTTTTCCAATTGACCTTTTCCTCCCCAGTAACTTCCAGATATTTCCCTCTTTTGCCCAATGGAAAAATAATCTGCCTTGACTTTCATGTAATGCATGATTGAATTTCACACTCTGCTTTTCCCAGCTAGAAATCTCTTCTTGATTTTCTCTCGTTTTCCTCTCACTTGCTGAGGAAGATTAAGAATTGTGTGGCTCTCTGAAGGAAATGGAAGATATATTGATTTTTGGACGGACTTGCTTTGGTGTTCAATGTTGCTTGTTATCCTCAGTTGTCCAGAGTGCTCATTGCCATCTTCTTTGTCTATAAGATTCAAATAAAAATGTATCTTTAATTGTGCACGAAATGGCTGCAGAAGATGAGAAAAGAAGAAAAACTTTTACATTACAATGAAAGAGCAAACATGCCACAATACTCAAAGAAGCTCTTACATTAATCATGACACATGGAAGACTACCCAGATCCAAGTTTGAATATCCATTCAATGATGAAATTCCCTTGTTGACTGGGTCAATCACAAATTCTTAGCAATGCAAATGGTTGTTTTCACATACAGTCAAGAGAAAAAGAAGTACCGTATTTTTCAGAGTATAAGACGCACCTTTTCCCCCCCTAAAAGGGGGTGAAAATTCAGGTGCGTCTTATACACCGAATGTAGCCCTGCCCACCCACTGGCCCCCACCCTTTGGCCTGTGCCTCGCAGCAGTTACCTCCTTGCAAGCAAACAGCAAGAAAAAACAGCTCCTTTCAGCTTCAGCATAGACTAATTAGCACAAGTTGATTAGATCGGCCTCCCGACTCTCCGTTAATTTGCTCTCAGCTGTTTTGCACAGGGCTCTGCTGCTTGCTGCAAAGAGGTAAATTGCTGCAGCAGATTTTTTTTCCTTGTGCTAATCAAGCTATGCTGAAAACAAAACTTAAAGTAAAGCAGGCTGTTTGCTGTAAGGAGGCAAAATTAGGCAGAGGCAGAGGGAGATTTCTTTTTCCTCACCAAAAAAGGTAGGTCCAAACAATGGGAAATTTAGGGCAAAAGAGTAGAGTTCAAGATTTTAAACACAAAAGAAAAAAAGGAGAAAGCAAAAAGCAAAAATAAAAATGGGAAGGGAGAAAAAGAAAAAGAAATGAAAGAGAAAAATGTTATACATATTTAGAATTGAAATATTAATAGTAGTAAGAAATAAATGGGAAATCATGATTGTAAAAATGAAATGAATAATAATTGGAATATTTGTCTTTGTATTTTTGAAATCTAGACAATGATAAGTTTTTATTTTTTTTAGAAATATGATTAAGTATAAACTGTAACAATTGAAATACGTTTAATGGTATATGGTGGTGAAAGTAAAAAGGATTAAATTATAGCTTGGATAACAGCTAGAACATTTTTAAATTTAATTAGGGAAATTGTAATGATTGAAATATTTTTAATTATATATTGTGATGAAAGTAGAAATGATTAAGTTGTGGTTTGGAGGATTATATGGGCAAAACTATGAGGGTTATTGGGAGAGTTTAAGATGTGAAAATGAGTAACATATTTGGTTTATTGGTAAATATAATTAATTGATTTTTAAGAAATTGGATTGCATGGAAATAATTGGAATATTCATGTTCATATTGATTAATATACAAAAAAAGATAGTTATATAACTAATTGATTTATATTAAAATGTTGAATTTGTATTAAACAATTGTAATACATAATTAACCAATGTGAGGATGGATATAAAAATAGATGACAATGGGAAGGGGTATAATATAGAAGAGAAGAGAAAAATTGAATTTGATTAAGATTAGATATGAGGATGAAGGGTAATAATTGTTTTTTTTTAAAAAAATAGATGTGGAATAAATATGGCAAAAAAAACACTGTTTAAATTTGTGAACCAGCCAAATACCCTGTTCAAAGAAAATACATTGTATGTTTGTATGTGTGTTTATCTAAAAAATAAAAACTGGAAAAAAAAAACCCAAAAAGTTAGGTGCGTCTTATACTCTGGTGCGTCTTATACTCCGAAAAATACAGTACATCCTCTTTCATTTCTATGGTTTTACTTATCAGGGTATCATAAATATCATCGCAACAGAACAGAAGAGAATAACAGAATTGGAAGGGACCTTGGAGGTCTTCTAATGCAAGCCCTGCTCAAGCAGGAGACCTTATACCATTTCGGAGAAGTGGCTATTACATCTCTTCTGAAAGGTTTCCAGTGATGGAGCACCACAATGTCTGAAGGAAAGCCGTTCTGCTGGTTAACTGTTCTCACCATTAGGCTATAACAAGCAGCGCAAAGTGACAAACAGGCAATAGGCAAAGTCAGTGCTAACGTGGTTAATCCCTCCACCGTTTATATACGTCAGCTCCACCCCCACAGCTCCATTATCCCTGGGACCCGCCCGATAACCCCCTACCCGTTACGTGGCGTCGAATGATGACACAGCCCAGCGCGCAGGGCATACATGCTGTGGGCACCACACGCAGGCCTCACCTCCCATCAAGCCCTGGCAGGCTTTGCGCGGCCCAGGATAAAGCAGGGCACCGCCTCAACACCAGCAGATACTTTTCAAGCCATGGAGGCCTTGTGCTGCTGAGTTGGCGGCTCCTGGCGTGGCGTGTGGGTATAGTCATGCCTCCCAGCTGGCGGCTCCCAGCGCAGCATGTAAGCCAGGCCCCCATGAACGTCCATCACATCTGGCGGCTCTCTATATGGGGTGCGGCCAAGGTCTCTGTGCGATTGGCAGCCCCGGTGACCGGAAGGCTGACATTGCCCTTGATCAATTGCTCCTAAGTTGCATTAACAGAGGATACAATCAAGATCAAGTGAGGTACTAATAGCACTCTATAAAGCCTTAGTAAAACTGCACCTACAGTACTGCATCCAGTTTTGGTCACCACACTATAAAAAAGATGTTGAGACTCTAGAAAAAGTGCAGAGGAGAGGAACCAGGATGCTTAGGGGACTGGAGACTAAAACATACGAAGAATGGTTACAGGAACTGGGCATGGCTAGTCTAGTGAAGAGAAGGACCAGGAGAGATATGATAACAGTCTTCCAATATTTGACGGGCTGCTACAGAGGGGACGGGGTCAAGCTATTTTCCAAAGATCCAAGGAGAGATTCAACCTAGAAATAAGGAGGAACTTTCTAACAGTGAAAACAATCAACCAATGGAACAACTTGCCTTCGGAAGTTGTGGCAGCTTCATCACTTGAGACTTTCAAGAAAGGATTGGACATCCATTTGTCAGAAATGGTCTAGGGTCTCCTGCTTGAGTGGGGGGGGGGTTTGGATTAGATGACCTATAAGGTCCCTTCCAATACTGTTAATCTGTTAAAAAGATTATTCATAAGGATCTGGGTACTTACGAGATCGCCTTCTGCTACCGATAGCCTTCCACCGAACAATACGCTCTCACAGAGAGGGACTCCTCAGGGTGCCGTCGATCAAACAATGTCAACTGGCGACCCCCAGGGGGAGAGCCTTCTCTGTGGGGGCACCTGCCCTCTGGAATGAATTGCCTTCGGAGATACGGATGATGCCTGACCTACGCGCCTTTCGCCGTGCCCTCAAGACGTTATTGTTCCAATAAGCTGGGCTGGCCTAAACATTAATTTTAATGGTTGTCTTAGTTTTTTTTAATAATATTGGGGCCAAATTATTTAATATATTTTAAATTATATTAAAATATATTAAGGCACCTTATTTGTGCGGTGCTGCAAGGGTCAGTCCTCTCACCCCTTCTGTTCAACATTTATGTAAAACCGCTAGGCGAGATCATCCGTGGTTTCGGGGTGAGTGTTCATCAGTATGCTGATAACACACAGCTATACATCTCCACCCCAGACCACCCCAATGATGCCCTTGCTGTGATGTCCCGTTGCCTGGAGGCCGTGTGGATCTGGATGGGGAGAAACAAGCTCAGACTCAACCCCTCCAAGACCGAGTAGCTGTGGCTTCCGGCGTCCCGGTATAGTCAACTGGTACCATCACTGACAATAGGAGATGAGATCTTGCTCCCCACAGAGAGGGCCCGCAACTTGGGTGTCCTCCTGGATTCACAGCTATCTTTAGAAGATCATTTGACGGCCATGGCCAGGGGTGCCTTTTATCAGGTTCACCTGATCCGCCAATTGCGTCCATTTCTGGATCAGGACGCCTTGCATACGGTCACTCATGCCCTAGTTACCTCCCGTATGGACTACTGTAATGCTCTCTACATGGGGCTCCCCTTGAAAAGCACCTGGAGGCTCCAACTGGTCCAGAACATAGCCGCGCGGGTGATTATGGGCGCAGGTTGTTACGCCCATGTAACACCTCTCCTAGGCGAGCTGCACTGGCTCCCGGTGGTCTTCCGGGTGCGATTCAAGGTGTTAGTTATCACCTTTAAAGCGCTCCATGGCTTAGGACCTGGGTACCTACGAGACCATCTTTTGCCACCAATAGCCTTCCACCGACCAGTTCGTTCTCACAGGGAGGGACTACTCAGGGTACCGTCAGTCAAATTATGCCGACTGGCGACTCCCAGGGGAGGGCCTTCTCTGTGAAGGCTCCAACCTTTTGGAATGAACTGCCCCCGGAGATACGGAATATCCCTGATCTCCATGCTTTCCGCCGTGCCCTCAAGACCCTGATGTTCCAACAGGCAGGGCTAAACATATGAATATGTGAATGAATTTTTTAAATGTTATCTAATTCTGGGTTTTATTTAATTGACCAAACTAAGTAATAATTTTAATTAGCAATTTTATGATGTTTGTGTGTCTATATTTTTCTTGACCGTACACCGCCTTGAGTCCTACGGGAGAAAGGCTGTATAGAAATATAATAAATAAATAAATAAATAAAATTGTTTTTAAATTTTATGTATATGTGTGTTTTATTGCTGGCTGTGCCCCGCCCTGAGTCCCTCGGGACAAGGGCGGTATAAAAATTTAAATAATAAATAAATAAATAAATAAGTGGGAAACATTCAAGAACATTGCCAATCTTCCCAGGACTGGACATTCAAGAAAATTCACCCCAAGGCCAGACCATGCAATGGCCAGAGAAATTACTAAAAAACAAAGAGCTATATCTCAGACTCTATTCATGAAAGTGCAATTAGAAAAACACTGAATAAGTATGGTTTGTTTGGAAGGGTTGTGAAGTGAAACCCTCTTCTCTCTAAAAAAGTCATAGCAGCACGGCTGAGGTTTGCAAAGTTGCATCTGAACAAATCACATGACTTTTGGAACACTGTCCTTTGCACAGACCAGACCAAAGGGGAGTTGGTTGGCCGTAATGCAGTGACATGTTTGATGAAAACCAAACACAGCATATCAGCACAAGCTTCTCATATAAACCGTCATGAACGATGGTGGAGGCGTGATGATTGGGGCTTGTTTTGCAGCCACAGGACCTGGACACTTTGCACTCTTTGAGTTGACCATGAACTCATCTATATACCAAAGTATTCTAGAGTCAAAAGTGAGGCCATCTGTCCAATAGCTAAAGCTTGGCTGATATAGGATTATGCCACAGGACAATGGACGCAAAACACATCAGCAAATCTACAACAGAATGGCTGGAAAAGAAAAGAATCAAGGTGTTGCCATGGCAGTCAAAGTCCAGACCTCAACCCGATTGGCGGGACTTCAAGAGAGTTCTGCATAAAAAAATACCCACAAACCTCAATGAACTGAAGCAATGTTGTAAAGAAGAATGGGCCAAAATTCCTCCACAATGCTGCAAGAGATTGATAAAGTCATACAGAAAAGAATTACTTCTAGTTGTTGCTGCTAAAGGTGGTTCTACAATTATTGAATCATACTTTTTTTAACACATGACTTCTCTGTTTTGGCTTTCTTTTTATAAAATAAAAGATGACCTGATGTAATATGTCATGTGTTGTTGTTCCTCTGTGGTTGTATTAACCTACTTTTAAGAACTTCTAAGGACCAATTGATTTTTACTAGGTCCCATTATATAAAATCATAGAAGTCAAGAAGAGTGTACTTTTTTTCACATGACTGTTTATCTGGAAGTCTTGGGGAGAGATTATGCATTTGGAGAGATACACATTCAGAGAGAAATAATACACACATCTACAATTTGGAGAAAATCAATGTCTTTCAAGGCTGAAAAATATCTGCCCATATGTTGAGATTCTAAGGCTGAAGTTCAGGCCTCAACAGTCTCCTGAGGCCATGGAAACGTTCACAGGAAACCACTAGCCTGTCTGTTAGGCACGTGACCAAAATCATAGAATGAAGCAAAAGCAAAGAAATGTATAAATATCTGCCTTTCACTATGCACAGGGCTCCTTCCTTCTTAGGAGGGACCCATCTTTATTCAGCTGAAGAAATGCGTTGGCTTATCAACAAACACACTTGAACTCTTTTATTTTATTGAGCCACACCTGACAATCTGCATGACACTAAACTTGACAGATGTGGGGGCTTTAAATGATCAAATGATGCCTAAAGCCTCTGCAAGATTTGAAGCACCAGTTATGCCCATGGAAGCCACGAACTCCAAGTAAAGGCAGAAAATACTTTCCACAACCCCTTTGGTGACATCCCAATTGAAGTAGTCCTCACTTACTGACTGCAATTGTGTCACTAAGCATTTTATTTCCAGCTCCTTTCTCCTGGCTTGGAACCGGACCGGATTTTTCTTTCTACAATTTGTTTAGATTTTAACGTGTATGTATTATTTACTGCCTCTAAGCCGCCCACAGTTATGTCATGGTAAGGTTGGTGGCCAATACATTTTATAAATAAATAAATACAACTGAACAGTCAAAACATTCAATAGCTGGTTTTTAAAAAGTGCTGGTTAAGCACAGTTGAACCTGGTGAATACACGGATGGGGGCACTAAGAGGAAAACACGATGCTTGTTAGCTAGAAATGGAAGCAAAACAATCCAGAAACGACCAGAGACACATAAATCCGATCTTGTTGCCCAGAAAACATCAGGTCCATAAGAGAAGAATTGAGTTGGGGGGACCTTGGAGGTCTTCTAGTCCATCCCCTGTTCAGCCAGGAGACCCTATTCCGTCCAGAACAAATGGCTGCCCAATCGCCCCTCAAAACCCTCCAGGGACGGAGCAGCCACAACCTCTGGAGGGAAGCCATTCCCAAAGAACCAACCTCCACTTGAAAGAGGCTTTTTCAAGCTTCCCACCAGCAGAAATTGCAGCCCCCAGTTTCCCAGCCTGCAGCACCAGTGGGCTTCCATTTGGGGAGGGAGGGAACCTGCAGCAGCCGCAGCTGAGAGGCTTCAGCCCAGTTGCTTCTCCGCTTCCAGCCCAAGTTGCTCCCGGACTCTCCTCCCACCTGCTGCCCTCCACTCACCTGCCAGCTGCTGCTCTGACCATGGAAACAGCACAAAAGCCGCTCTGCACACCAACTTCCTCCCATCAGCCATCCGGAAGAGGAAGTTCTTCTGCGCCTCTCCTCTCCTCCCAGCCTTTCTAGCAATGCAGTGTTGATGGCTTTCTAGGCACAGGTGTTGCCTGACCGCCATCTAGTGACAGGAGGTGGTAAAACACGCCTGTCCATTCTCTACCAAGGCTTTTCTCTGGTTCACTAATTTAGCCACTTTGTCAAAGAATGAAATAAAGTTTGTTTGGCATGATCTGTTTTTGATCAACCCATGTTGGCTACTGGTTATAACTTGTTTGCTTCTGGGTGTTCACAGAGTTGTTGCCTGGATATGTTTTCCAAGATGTTACCAGGTATTAATGTCAGGCTGATCTGTCTGTAATTTCCTGGACGAGTTTATTTTACCTGTTTTGAAGATGGGAACCACATCAGCTCTTTTCCAGTCCTCAGTTACAGGTAATCCTGAATTTACCACCACAATTGAGTCCAAAATTTATGTTCTTAAGTGAGGAATTTGTTAAGTGAGTTTTGCCCCATTGTACTACTTTTCTTCACTCATTTGTTAAGTGAATTCTTACTAATCTTAAATTAGTAGTACACTTATAGCACAGTCGTTAAGTGAATCTGATTTCCCAATTGACTTTGGTTTTCAGTAGGTCACAAAAGAGAATCACATGACTCTGGAACAGTCATAAATATGAATTAGTTGTTGAGCATCCGAATGTAAATGACATGACCATGGGGATGCTACCGTGTTTTCCTGAAAATAAGACCCTGTCTTATATTTTTTTGAACCCCAAAATAAGGGCTTGGCTTAGTTTTCAGGGGGGGGTCTTATTATTTTTAGGGTGCAGGAGGCCTGGGCGGCCTGAGCACTCACAGCCGGGGGTCTGACAGAGAGAGGGTCCTTCTGCGTGCCGCCATCAAGCTCCTCCCCTCCTGCAGGTGTGTGTGGAACATGAGCGGTCTGAAGGCAGCAAGGGGCACGAGCACCTGTCCCCCCTTGCTCGCGCGCCTCCCAGGCCTCACCACATCAATGTGGCTGACTCTCCATGCGGGGCTGCGGCTCCCTTTGCCCATCATCGCCTCTCTGCCCCGGCTGCCCACAAAGCAGGGATTTCCAGCTGGGGTTTAGAACCTGCAGAGGCGGAGTTTGGAGGAGAGAAAGAAAGACTTCTGCTGCTTTCTTTGCATGCAGCCAGCAGCAGAAGCAACAGAAGTCTTTCTTTCTCTCCCACAAACTCTGCTTCTGCGGCTTCCAAACCTCAGCCAGGGCAGCGGCTGCTCTGGGAGTGTTCTTCCTGCTCTATGGTGATAGTCACTGGAGGCCTCCCCTTTCCCCCTGCTCTTCTCCGCTCCAATCGCCCTCCACCCAAGCGCTCACCGATTGGGGCGCCCGCCAATAAGCCCAACAAGCCCCTCCGCCTTGGGAGTCACCGGACAGGATGGCGACCAGGCCGGACTGTTCTTGGGGAGGGGAGCCTCGCAAGACCCTTGCCCTCCCTCCCTTCTTCCTGCAGGCCCCGGTTACTCTTCTCTGGTGCCTGGAAGCGAGACGCCAGGCAGCTGCGCCGAGGGCAGCCCCAACAAATGCAGCTTGACTGGCCTGGCCATGGCCAGCAATCCCTGCCGGCGGTTGAGCTTGGCCCTCAGTGGGTTGGCCAGAGCCTTCACAAGCGGTGGCAGCAGCAGCAGCAACACCTGCAGCACCTCAGCCATCACTGCTGAGAGACCTGCGCCCAGCTATGAGACGCCCCAAGTCTGCTGGGTGTTGTAGTTGTCCATGACGTCTGGCCCTGCGCCCCACTGTGCAGCCGCTGCCCCGCCCCCACCAGAAGTGTGTATGGTAACTTCTTTCCGCTGCACATGGAGGCTTCTCTGGTGCTGCCGCCTACACTGCTAAGGAAGCCCCAGGGCAGCGATGCTGGTGCTGGTGCTGCTGTGATGGGTGCTCAGTAGCATGGGCTATGTGGATGCAGCACCTGGGTGAGAGTGAGCGGGCTGCCTCTATGGGGCAGGAGCAGGAGCAGGCGGTTAATGTATGGTCAGTGTCGAGGCGGCAGGGGGGCACAGGAGTTCGCAGGGATGTGACTGCCTTGGGAGGATTGGGGGTGAGGGACCTGTGTGTGTGTGTGAGAGAGAGAGGAGGGTGTGTGGGATGGAGAGAACATTGCTGCAGCCCTGGATAACTCTTTGAGATTGGATTGGATCTCTCTCGCTTTCTCTCTCATTCTGTTTCTCTCTATCTCTCTCTCTCTCACACACACACACACACACCATTCTTTCTTTGCGATCACAGCACAGACACCCCTTCCAGGATTGCAAGGCTGAAGGCTCCGGATGGAGCATTTTGGAGATGTGTGTCTGTGCTGCGATGCCAAGTAAACAACGATTGGCAAGAAAAGGGGGAGGAGCCCAGCAGCTGGGGAGGTGCTCTGGAGATCTGGGTCGCTCAGCTGATCAGCGGGCAGCAATTGGGCTGAACCTCCATGAGGTGACCGGAGAAGGGAAGGGCTGCCTCCTCAGCTGGCCACCCCCAAACCTTCACTGGGGCTTGTTTTGGGGGGGCTTATTTTTGGGGGAGGACATATATTTAATATTTAATTTAATATTTAAAATATTTATATTTTAATTTGTAATTTAAAAATTATATGATTATTTATATGGTAAAATTGGAAGAGGAACAAGTTAAAGAAACAAGTATTGCATGGCGGAAAAATTTTGGCCATGGAATTGATTTAGAGAAATGGCAAAAACTGTGGTTGCAAAATTATAAAATGACAATGTCAACAGTATATAAGGAAAATTTGTACAAGATGTTTTACAGGTGGCATCTATCCCCGACGAGAATAGCCAGAATGTTCAAGAACAAATCTGAAAAGTGCTGGAAACGTCATCAGACACTGGGCTCATATTACCATATGTGGTGGACATGCGTAGAAGCAAAAAGATATTGGACTAAAATCCACACATGGTTGGAAAAAATGACAAGGAAACACATAGACTTTAAACCAGAGATATTTTTATTAGGGATTTTGCCAGAAATATACACTGCTCAAAAAAATAAAGGGAACACAAAAATAAGATATCCTAGATCTGAATGAATGAAATATTCTTAGTAAATACTTTGTTCATTACATAGTTGAATGTGCTGACAACAAAATCACACAAAAATTATCAATGGAAATCAAATTTATCAACCCATGGAGGTCTGGATGTGGAGTTACACTCAAAATTAAAGTAAAAAAAAACACTACAGGCTGATCCAACTTTGATGTAATGTCCTTAAAACAAGTCAAAATGAGGCTCAGTAGTGTGTGTGTGGCATTCACGTGCCTGTATGACCTCCCTACAATGCCTGGGCATGCTCCTGATGAGGTGGCGAATGGTCTCCTGAGGGATCTCCTCCCACACCTGGACTAAAGCATCCCCCAACTCTTGGACAGTCTGTGGTGCAACGTGGCGTTGGTGGATGAAGCGAGACATGATGTCCCAGATGTGCCCAATTGGATTCAGGTCTGGGGAACGGGTGGGCCAGTCCATAGCATGGACTTTGTCTTGCAGGAACTGCTGACACACTCCAGCCACATGAGGTCTAGCATTGTCATGCATTAGGAGGAACCCAGGGCCAACCGCATCAGCATATGGTCTCACAAGGGGTCTGAGGATCTCATCTCAGTACCTAATGGCAGTCAGGCTACCTCTGGCAAGCACATAGAGGGCTGTTCGGCCCCCCAAAGAAATGCCACCCCACACCATTACTGACCCACTGCCAAACCGGTCATGCTGGAGGATGTTGCAGGCAGCAGAACGTTCTCCACGGCATCTCCAGACCCTATCACGCATGTCACATGTCCTCAGTGTGAACCTGCTTTCATCTGTGAAGAGCACAGGGCGCCAGTGGTGAAGTTGCCAATCTTGGTGTTCTCTCGCAAATGCCAAACGTCCTGCACGGTGTTGGGCTGTAAGCAACCCCCACCTGTGGACACTGGGCCCTCATACCACCCTCATGGAATCTGTTTCTGACTGAGCAGCCACATGCACATCTGTGGCCCGCTGGAGGTCATTTTGCAGGGCTCTGGCAGTGCTCCTCCTGTCCCTCCTTGCACAAAGGCGGAGGTAGCGGTCCTGATGCTGGATTCTTGCCCTCCTACGGCCTCCTCCATGTCTCCTGATGTACTGGCCTGTCTCCTGGTAGTGCCTCCATGCTCTGGACACTATGCTGACAGACACAGCAAACCTTCTTGCCACAATTCGCATTGATGTGCCATCCTGGATGAGCTGCACTACCTGAGCCACTTGTGTGGGTTGTAGACTCCGTCTCATGCTACCACTAATGTGACAGCACCGCCAGCATTCAAAAGTGACCAAACCATCATCCAGAAAGCATAGGAATTGGGAAGTGGTCTGTGGTCACCACCTGCAGAACCACTCCTTTATTGGGGATGTCTTTCCACCTGTTGTCTATTCCATTTGCACAACAGCATGTGAAATTGATTGTCAATCAATTGTTGCTACCTAAGTGGACAGTTTGATTTCACAGAAGTGTGATTGACTTGGAATTACATTGTTGTTTAAGTGTTCCCTTTATTTTTTTGAGCAGTGTACAATAGAAAACTGAGATATTTGATTGTGAATGTACTAACAGCGGCTAGAATTGTATTTTCTAAAAATTGGAAAAAGAAGGAAATAACTATGGAAGATGAAGTAATAAAGAAAATTATGGAATGTGCTGAAATGAGTAAATTGACATTTGAAATCAGAGAACAGGAAGATAAACAATATTATATGATATGGGATTTATTTTATCAATGGCTAGATAATAAAGCATGGAAATGAAATATGAAATAAATGTAATAATATAATACATGAAAAGGATTTTATTATGAGATGAAAATGCCATTGTTAAATAAACAATGACAAATGAGAATAATAATATAAAGAGATATAACAGATTGATTAATATGAGAAACTAGATAACTTGTAAATTATGAATATGGGATTAAGC